ATGACGAGAGTTATCTGAGTGAAGAAAACAGGTGCGGCGGGAGGCTTCTACGAAGCAGGACTCCGCCCATGGCGTTTGGGGCGTCCCACTCTGTTTGCTCCTCAAGTGTGCTGAAGGCATAAACCTGGCCTGAATCTCCAGTGCATCAGGATGCCGATATAAGTGGCCAAGTAGGTCAAGGCGGTATTGGGAACAAATCTGAGAAGCAAAGCGGATGGGTTTCTAACCCTGGGTTTCGAACCCCATGTTAAAAAAAAAAGGGGTTGAATTCAAAAGATACGTCTGACGCACTTGTAATGCACTGACTCCGAGCTGTTCTGGTGTGAGCGAGGAGACTATCCATCGCATACATGAGGATGGACTGAACGACTGATTTGTATACAAGCAACTTCCAATTGGGAGGGAGGACCATGCTTCATCAAGGGAGAACGCTTTGAAGCTTCGATTGCTCTGGAACCCTAGTGGAGAAATTTTAATGGTTGTTCGATTTATGGTCGAGGTACATCCCTAAATTTGACCGCGTCCGGCATGAGGACGCGGAAGTCGTCCACTGGTGTGGGCGAATATTGCGGATCGTAATATATTCGCTCAGCGGAGTTCAATGCCAAATGCCCGCACTTATCAAAGTTGAGGTGAAAGATATGCGCGCCTCGGTAAAGGAATTAGATGATAAAAGCGTATCATCCGCGTATCCTAGGTCCAAAAGAGATGTACCTAGCCTGAGAACCCTGGAGATGATACCATGTTCCGCAATTTAATTTACTGTGATTCTGCGCTTTGAAGGAAATGCGCAAGTACAAAACCAAATAAGTAAGGAGAGAGGGTGCAGCCGTGTAAGAGTCCCCGAGTTTGGGTAAAAACCTGGGAGCGGTACTCACTCTGAAATTGGGGTTTTGATAAAGAGAAGCAATTGCTGCTTTAAACAAGGGCGAGTCACCCATTTTTTCAAGTGACGACTGGATCGAAGAGAAAGTAACCGAATCGAGGGTTTTGGCCCAATCAGAAAAAGGCATGGAACGCCTCAGTTTGGCGCTCGTGCACTTCCAGTACGCGGCGAAGTAGAGGTTGGGTAGCCGACCTGCCCGATTGCGTAGGGCGAAGGCGATGATATAAAGGTGCTGCCAGTTTTTTTTGAAGGAATGAAGGATAAATCTTGTACATAGTGTTAGTAAGGGAGATGGGTCGATGGTTGGAGAAACGCTTCGTGTCTTTTGATAGTTTTCAATTTTTCAACAAGCATGAGTACTTTCCAATGTAGCCATGGTCCGATCTTGCGCAAAGCCGGAGCACGACAAACCCCTGTATAAAAACCGAGACTGGTGGACTGGGGCGCGCACACCGCATCGCAAAACCATTGCACACCATTATGTCGGGTCCGGCATGGGGTGGGCTTTGGGGCACACCCGCTCCTAAAACCAGCGCAAGACCCTTTTACCTGTACCGAAACAAGTGGATTTCGGGACGCGCATCGCAAAACCCCTTTATCCGGTCCAAAAGAGTTTTGGGGCACACCCCGCACCCCGACACCACCACAAAACCCCTTTATCACACCTGACACTAGTGGATTCTGGGGTGCATTGCAAAACCTTGTCTCCGATAGGAAATTGATGGGTTTTGGGGCATGCCTCACGCCCCCAAACCATCGCAAAACCCTTTTATTGGAGCGGGTTTCAAACCGAACGCAATCGGCAAGTCCCCTCCCCCCAACATCAGTGTCCTGCCATGATGGCGGGGAAACATGTTCCTGGAAGCTGGCAGGGCCAACCACCTGCAGACACGCACCTCCGGGCAGATGACATCATTGAGAAACGCTACCGGTCGGGGGGCAGCTTTCGCATGTCACCCCAGTACCTGCAGTCTCTCAAAGTCAAAACATCTCAGCGGTCCTGTAGAAGGGTTTAGGACTGTTTAGGATGACAGCAAGGTGAATGTGGGGATTTGTGCATCATGAGCAACAAGCCAAGAAGCATCACCCCAGTCCGTCCAGTCTCTCAAAGTCAAAACGTCTCAGCGGCCCTGCAGACGGGTTTAGAATGACAGCGGACGTCTGCTACTTTCATTTTCAGCGTGCAGCTAAAAATTACCGCCACAACACGCGGGCTTCAAGCGAGCATTGAGCAGTCGAGACTTTGAAGGATCAAGCGCAAACAGGAAGGAGGCGGTGCTGCTGGAAGGGTAGCAAAAATGGCCAACATGTCAAGCCGCGCCAGTCCTCCTTTGTGACCCCCCGAACATGCACCACACCCAAAGCCAGGAGATCGAGACATAGCTGCTGCCGCTTGCCCGGTGGGATGTGAGCCTGCTGCGCCAGAAAGTCAAACACAAGGATATTTGAGCTGTCTCCTGCAGACCGAGTGGGATGTTGAAGCAACACGAAGCAGCCAGAGAACGCTCTGCATTATGCCGTTTGGCCGATTCACAGACCCAGTAACACAAACACATTCTGCACCGAAGTGTGTCCCGGAGTCTGGAGATGGTGCTCGTGGACGCTAAAACTGTGACTCGAGACTGCATGTGCCGGATGTGTTCGGGCGAGACGGACCCGGAAGGTGTCCACAAGCCGTCTGCCTTCACCGTCATGATGCAGCCTCGGTGCCACTCGAAATCCACATTGCCATCGTCAAAGGCTTGGGACACCTGGATTTCAGAGGCTGCCCTTGAAAAAGACTGACAAATGTTTAGACAGGCAACGTCTCTTGATGTTGCGCAAGGCAAACTTACTACCAAGCGCATGGCTCGCCACTGCAGCGTGCCTGACTGTGTTTGAGAACTGGAGCAAGAAGCGTGTCAAGTGATGCTCGGTGATGGATGGCCTTATTCAGCCAGTCCACAGGGAGGGTCACCTTCATCCTGCTCATGAAGTCGTGATTGGTTTCCTTCGTGAACATGCTGTGTGATCTGGCCACCGATCTTGCCTGCTGGATCAATACAGTGACAACTTGCTTTGTCTCGGTGCCTGGCAGAGACAGGATGGTGGACATGCTCTCCACAATCTCATTCGGAGTGCGGACGTTGGCAAGAGCACGGTGTCCTGCTCAAATTTTCTGTAGGATATGGTGACCCCTAGGTACACGTGCTTGGGTACCAGTTTGATGTCTACATTTTTGGAGTTGATGCGAAATCTCATGTAGAGCTCCTTTGATGACATACTTCCGGAGCAGGGCATGGGCTTTGGGCTTTTGAGCTCGAGGATGATCACCGTTTTATCGGTGCTTACTTGTTGTCGGTTGTCCTCCAAGTGAGCGAGGATGGCTTTGATACCGTTGTAGCATTTTCCAGGGCGATGCCTGATTTCACAAGTGGAGATCATCCACAAAGGCCGTGGCTGACTGAGAGATAGACACCACGCCCTTGTTGTCCAGCCGCTCTAAAACCCAGCCTGAAAGAGTGCCCAAAGAGCTGGTGACAAGCTGCAGCCTTGCCTGAAGCCTCTGCCGAGGCACAGGTCCTGGCTGTGCTCCCCGTGGGTCACCCGCAGTTTTGCCTGGTGATGAATCGCAAGGATGGTTGCTGCTAACCGGCTTGTGGAAGACCCGATGAAACCCAAAGACCTCGTCGAAAGGAAGAAACAAAGTGATTTTCCCCCAATTCGTGGGTCCAGTAACCAAAGGCACACGTGTCGTCTTGGACGGACCGCTACAGATGATGGCTCGCAAAGCTGCGGCCAGATTGTTCTGAGAGATAGATGCGGCGTTTGCTGCGAAGAAAGCTGTGACGGCTTCCATGTAAGAGCAAACTTCCTAATGGCAACAGCTCCCCTCGGCTATCCGACAGACCAACTCCCAATCCGTCTCTGCTTCCATCCGTGCGTCAGACCCTGCTCGGTCCCACTCAGCAGCTTCATCCAAGAACTCCTTGAGTTTCTTCTGGTTGGTGTGCACAAAGGCTTGCATCTCCTCTGTTCCGTGGTCCTGCACATGTGCCAGAAGTGCTGCTTTGGAGGTCAGACCCGTGTCCAGAATGATGGCGGTCAAATCCAGCTTGCTAAAGCGTGGCTGCTTCTTGGCGAGCCCCGCTGACACCATCTTCTCGGAAGCCTGCAAGGGGGTTAAGGCTATTACCCAAAAAGTCCGCTGACTCTGCAGCTATTTACATACTTTCCTCCCAAAACGCGTCCTGGCGTTTCTTCCACAGGTCTGCCGTCCAAGGCCGCTGCGACTCGGCAAAGAGGTCGAGCGCACCCCAGCCACCAGTCTCGCACCATGAAAGGGGCGCATCGTTCACAACTGGCTTGGAAGCAGTTGGAATGAAGCCGTATAGCGGACTGCACTCCAGAACTGCGTGTGTGAGCACGGGAAGTGTGCTGCCAGTCTGTCCCTTTCGCGAAGGGTCCTCTTCGCAGCAGCAAAAGTGCGCGGCTGACGAAGAAGGACTGCCACGTGGAAGTGGTAGTCTCCATCTTGATGGAACTTACACCACCAGCTTGGTCCCAAACCTTGTGCCCGTGCGCATGGTCTGCATTGACCCTGGACAGGGTTGTCAAAAGCTTTCCAGACGCTGTCGGCAACAGCCTCGCGAGACATCTCACTTACGTTGCGTAGATCACCGGCCTCGCTTGTCGCTGGCAACAAACGGGAGAAGGTGAGCATGTGCACACGAAGCTTCTTGGAGGTGTCTTCATCTCCAAGATCTTTCAGCACTGCATTGAAAAGCTGCTGTGGCGACTGCTGAGACTTCGCGACGTGCGCCTCTACGGCTTCCTTGATCCAGCCAGACACGCTTTGCGCGCGAGCAGTCAAGGCGAAGAAAGCGAAAAATGCCAATGTGGAAAAAACAAGAGCTTGCTCCGACCAGTACCGAAGTGAACCATGCTTTCCAGACGGCACCTGGACCTCTGCAACCCCCGCACCGGACATTCGGTGGCCCACCTTCCAAAAGCTGGACGACACCATCCTCATCCAATCGGACTCCGACGCCCGTAGGAAAACAGAAATCCAAGCGGAAACGGGAGCTGCGAACACCGCGACCATCGACACTTCCAACGGCTACACGGACACCCA